AGGCTGGGCAGCAGGGACGAGAGGCCCATGACGTGCCAGGCGTCTCCGTCAGATATCTTGGAGGTTTGGCAGCCCTGTGGTCCCGGGAGACCAGTGCAGTGGGGAATGCCTCCTGCCTGTGGCCCTGGCAGGTGCCCCCTACAAAGCTGTGGGCTTGGTCCAGGGCACCACACCGATGCTACAGGCGCTCAATGGAGCTGTCTTCAGGCCAGAGGTGCCGCTTCGCCGGGGCCAGCCCCTGCTCATGTTCCGGGCTCAGCCCTCCAACCCTGTAATGCTGCCCACTATGATTGGCCTCCTGGCAGAGGCAGGTGTGCAGCTGCTTTCCTACCAAACCTCCAAGATAATTTGACATTCTTATTTTGCTGAAGCAGTGTGAAATCACCAACGGAAACAATAATCTTGTGTCAGAGTTTTCCTTTGCCTGAAGTGGTCACAGCCAAAATGATCTAAAATATAGCTTAGTATTGTTCTTAACTTAATTTCTCAGCACAGCCTTGTCCTGTGTTTGGCTTGAAAGAGAAAAGAAGCCCTTGTGTATATAAACTCATGGATTTCACAGTTGCTTATTTTGTATTTTTATAGTATCTGTATCTTCCACGTACAGAGCCAACATAGAAATACAAATTGTTTACCTCTGTCAATCCTTCTCTTATTTGTTTCTTTGATACAGGGTTTCATGTAGCTGAGGCTAGCCTTAAACTCACTAGCAGAGGATAGCCTTCAGCTCTTCATCCTCCTACCTTTACTTCCGAGTGTTGGCAGCATAATCCCTGGCTAAGATTTTTTTCTTTTACTTTGTGTTACACAACACCTTCTGGTATATGAGTCATTAACATAATGAACTCTAAATACAGGATATACTAAGAGCTGTATGTGGTTGTACACCTCTGTAATCCAGCACTGGGAAGGCTGAGACAAGAGCAATAAGTAAATAATCAAGTGTATAATATAAGACAGTGTGTTAGCTAAGAAGGATTTCTCTGAAATTTTCAATTGATATAAAGGATGGGTTTGACTGTGGAATTTTAAAAGCCTTTTTTTGTTTTTGTTTTTCGAGACGGGGTCTCTCTGAGTAGCTCTGGCTGCCCTGGAATTTGCTCTGTAAACCAGGCTGGGCTTGAACTCACAGAGATCCATCTACCTCTGCTGGGATTAAAAGGTGTGTGTCACCACTGCCTGACTTTAAAAGCCTTTTCGAAAGTAATTGTTTTTCTTAATATGCTCCCTCAACTCTGTAGTGTGGTATGGTATAGTATACTAATGGAATGGAATGGACATGGAATTACAGTGACAACCAATGACAGGCCTGGTGGCTCACACATTTAATCTCAGCACTAGAGAGGCAGAGGCTGGCAGAGCTCTGAGTTCAAGGCCAGCCTGGTCTGTAGAGTAAGTTTCAGGATAGCCAGGGTTACACAAAGAAACCCTGTGTTGAAAAAATGTAAAAGCAAAACAAAACAAAACAACAACAACAAAAAACAAAACAAAACAAAAAAACCCAAAAAACAAGAGAATATAAAGGGACAAACAAGAATGGAATTTGAATTTAACGAATCCTTAAAAGAACGTAAAGGACAACAATGTGTGACATTTGATTGGCACTTTATCATTTTCAAACTTCTTCCTAATAGCCTAGTGATGCTGGCCTTTTTCCATACAAATATTTGATCACGTGGTACAAGGAAAGTATTGACTCCTGCAAAAGGCCTCTGATCTCCACACATGTGCTGTGCACACGTGCATCCAGATGCACATGCTTGAGCGATAGTAGTTTTTATATTTAGTGGTGCATATTAGTACATACACATGATCTAGTGGGTTTAGTTTTTGAACTTGGAAATCAATTACTGTACATTCTAGTATGGCTTTTCTTGTTGTAACTATTTGTTCTACTTATGAAATAGAATTAGCTACAAATATTAGGCATTCTGTAGATACTGTAAATAATTCTGGTCATTCTGACTCCCTGGCTATCTAACAGATAAAGTATGGGAAATCTGTTTCATTGAGTGATGTCTGCATATCTTATCTTTTTGTTTTTTTGTTTTTGTTTTTCGAGACAGGGTTTCTCTGTATTGTTTTGGAGTCTGTCCTGGAACTCACTCTGTAGACCAGGCTGGCCTCGAACTCACAGAGATCCGCCTGCCTCTGCCTCCCGAGTGCTGGGATTAAAGGCGTGCGCCACCAACGCCCGGCTATCTTATCTTTTTGGATACACCTTTTTAATAGTAATGGAATTTTTTTTATTATTTAATTTTTTGAGATAGGGCTTCTCTGTGTAGTCTTTGCTGACCTGGAACTTGCTCTGTAAACCAACGTGACCTCAAACTTAGAGATTCACCTGCCTCTGCCCCCTTGTGTGAGGATCAAAGAATGGCAGACATCTTTTAAATATTGTATTTATGTGAGTGTTTGTGCATCACCAGAAACCAGCACTGAATCATCTGGATTTGGAGTTACACATGGTTTAAAGCCATTGTGTGGGTGCTGGGAATTGAACCTGGGTCTCAGCAAACACAGCAAGTGCTCTTAACCACTGAACCATCTCTCCAGTTCCAGGAATGAAATCTTTAAAAAATGTATTTTTATTTGTGTGTGTGTGTGTGTCTGTATGTGTTTGTATGCATGTGTCAAGGTGTGTATGTGATGCTCAGAGGACAAATTGTAGAATTTAGTTCTCTCTCTCTCTTCCTCTCTGTCTCTCTAACTTATACTTCATATGCATTTGTGTTTTGCCTGCGTGTATGTGTATGGGAGGATGTTGAGTTTCCTGGACCTAGAGTTACAGACTGTTGCCATGTGGGTGCCAGGAATTGAAGCTGGGTCCTTTGGAAGACCAGGCAGTGATGTAAACTGCTGGACCATCTCTCCGGCTCCACATTGGTTCTCTTCTTTCCCTATGTGTGACGTAGGTATTGAAGTCAGGTTGTCACACTTCCCAGCAAGCACCTTTACCTTGGAATGAAATCTTTTTTGGGGGGTGAGAGTGACTAGTTTTTTTGGAGACAGGTTCTCTCTGTGCTGTCCTGGAACTCACTCTGTAAACCAGCCTGACTTCTAACTCACAGAAATCCACCTGTCTCTGTCTCCCTAGTGCTGGGATAAAAGGCATGCACCACAATTGCCTGGCAAGGAATGAAATCTCAACGGGACCTATTTATTATTCTTAATCATGAGCTTATACAGTAGAAGAAAGGTGTTGGTGTTTATTAGTTTCCAGTTTTCCTTTCTTTAAAATATGGGGTGATTCAGCAGGTAACAGCACTGACTGTTCTTCTTAGAGGTCCGGAGTTCAATTCCCAGCAACCACATGGTGGCTCCCAACCATCTGTAATGAGATCTGGCGCCCTCTTCAGGCATGCAGACAGAATTTTGTATACATAATACATAATCAATAAATCTTTAAAATATGGGTCTTTCGGGTCACCCAGGCTGACCTTGAATTTGTGACTACTCCCCTATTTTTATGGAATGTTGGGATTACAGACCTGTGCCACCTTGCTTGGCTTTATTTTTTTCCTCCATGTTTTAATTTTTTAAAAAATTATATTTGCTTGCTTAAGCACAATTTTTAGGACAAAAGATGAATGTGTAGAATAGGTCTGAGTAAAGTTCTTTTTTTTTATTTTCCAGTTTAAATTTAGATAAGAAACAAGGTTGCTTCACAAGTCAGTTCCAGGTCCCTCTCCCTTTCCCTCCCCTCCTCCTGTACTCTCCCCCCAACTCCCCCCCCCTTATCCCCTCATTTCCCCAGGGAGGGTGAGGCCCTCCATGGGGGTGTGCATAGTCTGTCATTTCATATAGGGCAGGGCCTAGACCCTTCCCCAAGAGTTCAGGGTGAGAGTGCACCTCACATTGTTCTATGGGAGTCCAAAGTCTGTGTGTATACTTGGGATGGGTACTGATCTGTGCCCAAGGCTCAATAGATTCCCTAGGACTCCTCACTGACACCCCAGTCAGGGGGTCTTGATCAGTCCCATGCTGGATTCCCAGGCTGATGCCTGGGACTTCTTTTTTTTTTTTTAAGATTTATTTATTTAGTATACAGTGGTCTGTCTGCATGTATGCCTGCAGGCCAGAAAGGAGCACCAGATCTCATTTTGCTGACTGAAAGTCACCATGCGGTCGCTGTGAATTGAACTCAAAAAACCTCTGGAAGAACAGTTAGTGCTCTTAACCTCTGAGCCATCTCTCCAGGATGAGTAAAGTCCCTTTAAAAAATCAATTCGGTCAGCTGGGCGGTGGTGGCGCACGCCTTTAATCCCAGCACTCGGGAGGCAGAGGCAGGCGGATCTCTGTGAGTTCGAGGCCGGGCTGGACCGACAGCCTCCAAAACAATACAGAGAAACCCTGTCTCATAAAACAAAACAAAACAAAACAAAACAAAACAAAAACAAAACAAAAAAACCCAACAAAAAACAAAAAAACTATTTGGTCAATGTATAGAGGAAGCACTATGTGAGCATCTGACTGAAGCTCCCTCCAGCCCTGTTTGTGAGTGCGCGTGTTATCACACATGCAGAAAGGACTTCCGACGGTATTCTTTGTACAATGTGCCTCAGGGTTCTTCATGAGAAGAAAGCAGGACAATGAAAGTGTGAGGTGAGAGGACTCTATACGGCTGGTGTAAGAATAGTGGAGAATAGTGCTATGAAGCAAGCAATCTGGGGATGCGTCAGGAAGGTGCTACAAAAAAAAGGCAAGGATCTTCATTTTTCTTCAAGTCTCCGGAAGGAATACAGTTTTGCAAATAAGGCTTTAAGATTTTTGACTCCAAAGGTCTAACAGAGAAAAGTTCTATTGCTTAAGTCAAAATCTTGTGGTCATTTGTCACACTACTTTAAGAACTTGTACAGGCTACAGCTAATGATTTGTGCAATTTCTCAAATGAAGTGTCATACTGGTCATGTTTTGAAGAATAGCTTTCCGAAGAATAACGAGAAGTGAACTCTGAAGCAAGGATTTTAGAAAAGACATTTCTCTTTATGCATTTGTAGATATGGCCTCTGAAGTAGAGTTGCCTATGATAGTCCATGAAGAAATACATTTCAAAACCTCATCTTCGAAGAGGAATGAGGAAGATTCAGAATCATGGGAGGACCCTGAAGGGCCTGCTGTGGCAGAAACTGACATGTCTTTGGAAGGTGCCTTGCTCGGTAGTCAGCTGGTTTCTCAGAAAGGTAAGGGGTGGTTATGTGCTCCAGTTCTTGGGCTGAAGAAGAAATTAGATTCAGAAATTATATATCAAGTGGTGATGATATGTTTTATTTCTAAAACAACAGAACATGATGGACAGTTTCAGATTCTGAAGTATTTATTTCAAATCGATGTCTATGGCTTCATGAAGTTTGCTTTTATATCAACTGAAATTCTTATAGAAAGGGTGAGTCAGATTTAAAATTTTTATCTATTTTTTTAGTGTGATCCTCCCTTCTTCCCTCCCTCCCTCCCTCCCTCCCTCCCTCCCTCCCTCCCTCCCCCCTCTCTCTCTGTGTGTGTGTGTGTGTGTGTGTGTGTGTGTGTGTGTGTATGAGCCACAATACATAAGTGGAGATCAAGGACAATTTGTTCTCTCTTTCCGCTTCGTGAGTCTGAGGCATCAAACCCATTAGTGTTGGCAGCAGGCCCCTCTACCAGATGAGCCATCTCACCCACCCTATGGATTTCCAAATCGTTTGCAACCGCTTTTCATATAGGCTTAGTGACTCTTCCTTCTGCAAGCCTCACAGTGCTTCCCTTTCCATGAAATCTTCCGTGCCGGTTCTCCTTAGATAAAGGTTTTGCTACCAGATGTTGTCAGGAGTGTTTTGTTTCTGTTTCTGTTTTTGTTCTTTCAAGGCAAGGTTTCTCTGTGTAACCCTGGCTGTCCTGGATCTCACTCTGTAGACCAGGTTTGCTTCAAACTCAGAGGGCTGCTTTCCTCTGCGTCATGAATGCTGAGATTAAAGGCATGCGCCACCATGGCCCAGTAGGAATTTTCTTTAAAAAAGGTTGTGAATAATGTTTTTCTGTTTTTTTCAATAATACAAAATGAGTCATTTGGAAATAGTGTGAATTAAAGAGTCTTGAGCAAATTGTTACTACCAAATGACAGTGTGATCTTGAAGTGGTAGAGTAAGAATAGAAAATCAAACAGTTCTGTAATACTTAACTTTACTGTACCAAAAATTCCAACTTCTGTTCACATTCTAATTAGTTGCTAATCTGATGATCAGCTAGATGAGTATCACATATTTGCAATCCCAGCACTCGAGAAGCAGAGGCAAGAGGGTTGTGAGTTGGAGTTCAGCTTGGGCTATAAAGTGAAACTCCATCTCAGAAAGAGGAGGGGGCCCCAGAGACACCCATCTTGCACAGGACCTGGGTTCAGTTTCTGGCACCCACTTGTCAGGTTACAACCAACTGTTAACTCCAGTTGCAGAGGATCCCGCACCATCTTCTAGACACCAGGGCACTAGGAACACGCATATTGTACATGTATACATGCAGGCAAAAATACTCATATACTTAAAATGAAGATAAAAACATCTTTAAAAAACTTATTATGAGCCGGGCGTTGGTGGTGCATGCCTTTAATCCTAGCACTCAGGTGGCAGAGGCAGGCGGGTATTTGTGAGTTCGAGGCCAGCCTGGTCTACAGAGCGTGTTCCAGGACAGCCTCGAAAACAATACAAAGAAACCCTGTCTTGAAAAACTGGAAAACAAAACAAAACAAAACAAAAACAAAAACACAAAAAAACAAAAAAACCCAACTTATTATGAAATAAAGGCCACACTTTAGTATTTAGCACAAAAGAAATCTTCTGCAGCCAGATGGTGGTGGCCCACATCCTTAATCCCAGCACATGGCAGGCAAAGGCAAGCAAATCTCTGCGTTCAAAGTTTACAGAGTAAGTTCCAGGACAGCCAGGGATACACAGAGAACAACCGTCTCAGAGAAAAACAAACAAACAAAAAGAAATATCCTCTGCCGAAAATTACACCAGAGAAATTAAGAAGTTGAAAAAATAATTTACAAATTGGTGCATGATATTTGAATCTCTATAAAGTATTTATTTAATGAAACCTACTAAGTATGCTTACTTTTGTGGGCTTAGTAAATATAGTCAATTATATTTTCCTTAACTATCTTGGTTGAAATTATTTAGAGGTGAAATTTTTGAATGTAAATTTATTTTAATTATTTTGTGGTCTTGAAAAGTTGCATCTTCTTTGGAGAAGGCATCTTAGTATTAAACCTTCAGTGTGAGGGCCTGAGACTAGCTGACAAGCTTCTGGTGAAGTGGTCTTGTACATCGTTTTTTAAAAAGTCATTGTCGAGCCTGGAGGTGGTGGCTCACATCTTTATCCCAGGACTCAGGAGGCAGAGGCAGGCAGATCTCTGTGACTTGAGGCCAGCCTGAGGTACACAGAGAAACCCTGTCTCATAAAAACAAACAAAACAAAGTCATTGTTGTGCTGGCAGTAGCATGAATACTAAAAACCCAGAGACAGGTTGGGGTTCAAGCTGAAGATCAAAGAAGCAAAGTGGCGAGCCACTAGAGTTTTCACCTCTGCCAATGCTCAGACCAAAAGAGGGATCCACTGAACCTCACACTCACTCAGCTTCTGTCTTCTCCTGCCTTGTATTCCTCTCTAGTGCTGGGATTAAAGGCATGGGATCCTAAGTGCTGAGATCACCGTTGTGTGACCTGTTTCTCTTTTAGACTGATTCATGCTCCTGTATGTAGCCCAGGGTGGCCTTGAACTCACATCTGCCTCTGTCTCCTAAGCCCTGGAATTAAAGGTGCCTGGCCTCTATGGCTAACTATGGTGGCTAGCTTTGTACTTTGATCTTTAGGCAAGCTTTAATTGTTAAATCATGAACAAAATGTCACCACCCTGGGGATGTGGGTTAGTGAGGCAGCCCCATGGAGGAGGGAACTTGCTTGTGTTGCACAGGCATTGGATTTAATTCCCTAGCACTGAAAACAACTATAACAAAAAACAGCAGACACACACACACACACACACTCACACACACACACACACACACACTCACACGTCAATTGTCACTATGTAAAATGTGAGTTCATTTAACAATTCCGGATTCTCTCAAAAACTTAATAGATTGCTGTAGAAACTTCTCTAGTCTGGCAACCAGAAGTTCAGGCTTGTACTGTACAACTGTAGACTTGTACTGTACAACTGTATGCATGGATTTGGCCTGCTTGGCTTGTCTGGAACCCGTAGCTCACAATCATAGCATTAAATGTTCTGAAGAGTCTCCAACAAGCCTGGAACCTAACAATCTGGCACAGCTTTGAGGCACCTATAACATATCTGAAAAGCATCTGCAGAGAAAAAAAATTGGAGCAATATTCCAGTTAATCTTGAGTGAGATTTTTCCTGCCTCGTTGAGGTGATTGTTTCAATGAATTGGTGTTTCAGGTAGATCCTGTGTAGATGCACCTTCCTTGTATCACTCAAGTAACAGCAGCCAACACAGCTTTTCATCACCTTTCCTCTATAGCCGAGGACCTTCTTGACATTCATCTACTCCACAACATGCTTCATTTGTAGGTGTTATAAAGAAGGAGATGGCCCATTCCTGTTGAACAGGTAGCTCCTGATTCAATATATTCTGAGAACAACTGTTGCATCATCCAGACAGAGAAGAGCAATGTGTCACAGCAGTGTTGTTTCCTTCCAAAGGGCCAAACTAAGTGGCAGCAGCTAGTCCTTACAGCTCTGATCCAGGGCCTTCATGAGGGAAACCTGTTTCCAGGCCTTGGACTAGGTTTTCTGGTTAGCAATGTCGAGAGTCAGTGATGCTCTCTCATAGCTGTTATGAGCACCCATAACATTTGCTGTCCATTTCCTTGAAAGCTGGTCTCATGTCTACTATGGAGAACAGTCTCTGAATATCTTTTATCTGGTAGAAATTTATGTTAATAGACAATAGGATAAACTCTTTAGTGTTTTAGTAGTTAGTAATCTTAGGATTTTTCTTTCTAGCTGTGAATTTTAATGTAATATGTATAATATTTAAGAAAATACCTATATCCAGGCATAAGTATGTGTGCACACACATATTTACTAAGTTATGTGGTCCATGAAATTGGATTATGTGTTGGTAGTCACAGCTCCACCTATAGCACCCCTGTATCTCAGTGTCAAAACAGAATTATACTCTGTGTGGACACCGACAGGCAGAAGGTATTAAAATCTGGAATCTTTCTCAAGGAAATGAAGCATTCAAGACAGCTTTATTTATATGTAAGGGTACTTTAGCATGAACTTTCTAAGACATGGACCAGGAAGGTCTGGGTGAAGAGGTAAGTGTCTCCATGACTGTAATGTGTTCAGAAGTTTGATTTAGGATTTTGCACTGACTATTAAGTTTACTATTTTTGCTGTGGAGCAATGTTTGCTATAGGTATGCTTGGATTTTCCTTCTTTCTAAAATTTCACTTGTGTCATTTATGCTTTAGCGTTTGGGATGGTAACTGGTGCAGATTGGAAAGGGGAACACATTAACATAGGGAAGATAGGCTGAGCAAAGCAATTTTTTTCATTTCTATTTACAGATCGTAAAATCCAGTAAGATTCTGGAGCCCATTAAAGATGCCCAGACTCACTGAAGACTTTTTATTAGAGTAATATTCTTTCAGTCGAAGCTTTAAGCACCTTTGAAATTCTAAAGATAAAATATTAGGTGCACTTGTGGCTTTATTATTCACATAAGCTAATTTCAAAATACAATCGTACGAGAAAGTTGTGCACTACCTTAAACCTTGAGTATTGAGCAACTTCTGCTATCTCCAATAGTAGCAGTTTCTGAAACTCCCGAGGGTGATGTGGCAAAGAACAGTTTGAGTTTCAACAAAGCAGTCCTCAGTGTGGTCTGAAGTTACTGACTGTACTGTGGATTTTCCTGATTTCGTGTGTGAGTGTTTATGGCATGAAAGTGATGCTTTCACTAGAAGGTTATATTGCAGGAATTTACAAAGAGGTCATGATTTCGTTTATCAACTTTTCTTTGTCAGCTGCTCTTCTTTGAATTGCTTCACTGAAGTTTGGGGTAAGATAATGGCGTCGGTAAAGAAGACAAACGTTAGAGACAGGTTATCTTCTAAACCTTATGTCCCAGTACTCCTTGCAATGGCTGTAAAATAGAGCTCTAAATTTAGAGGACAAGCTGCTACATTTAGTTCTTTTGCCCCTGAGCACCTGGTGATGGGCAGAAGTCCGAAAGGGCTTGATTTAGGTACCTGGGCGCTAAGGGATTTAAGCCTGGGATGCCTGGCTAGTGCCCACCTGGTGAACTCAGGTGAGTGAACCAGAATGCTGGGCTTAGGAGGATCGAAGTGTGCTTGAACAGGGGAGGTTAAACTCTGACCA